TTGGTGAGACCTGTCTCTACAATAAATCACACATACACAAAATTAGTCAGGTGTGGTGGCATGAGTCTGCAGCTCCAGCTACTTGGAAAGCTGAACTGGAAGGATTGCCTGAGTCCAGCAAGTTGAGGCTGCAGTGGCTGTGAGTGTGCCACTGCACTCAAGCCTGGGCGACAGAGTGAGATTCCAATTCAAAAAAAGAAAAAAGAAAAAAAAGATGGTAATAGGTAAAGACATAGTGGACAATGAAATTTGGTTCTTTCCATGACCTATAAAAAATTAACACACTAGCCATAATTGTGACTAATAGCATACGCCCAGGCATAGCAGAATTTTAGGAATCCCACACAACTTTGGAGTATGTATTAATATTATATTTATAAAAATATGACTTGAAGGTTACACATCATTTTCATTTGACAATATACACAATGGTTTATATCCACTTGAGATATAGTGGTTGTAAACACATATGCACCCAACATCTGAGCACATAGAAATATAAAGTAAATACTGATAAATATGAAGGGAGTGATAGATTGCAGTACAAAAACAGCAGGGCACAGCAATCCCCCACTTTCCATCTCAGTGTGACTTTAAATGTGAGATGAGTCTTATTGAAAGCATATAGTTGAGTACTTTTAAAAAAAATTCATTTGGGCATTCTATGTCTTTTGATTGGGGTACTTAATCCATTTGCATTTGAAATAATGACAGACATGTAAGAATCTTTTGCTGCCATTTTGTTAATTGATTTCTGGTTGTCTTGTAAATTCTGTTTCTTTCCTCCTGCCTTCCTGTTTTTATTTATGATTAGATAATTTTATATAGTGGTAGACTTTGACTTACTTTTTATATTTTCTTTTTTTCCTTCTTTTTTTATTTTAAAGATGTGGTGTACAATTCAGGATTGGGTATACAAGTGGACATTGTACAGGTAAAGACTGGGTCTCTCTTTGACTTTTTATATTTTCTATATCTACTATAAGTTTATAATTTCTGGTTATCTTATAAAGCATTTTATAGGTTTGATGAGTTATTTTGAGCTGATAAGTTAAAGTTCATAATGAAACTCTACACTGACATCTCCCTTCACATTTTTTTGTTTTTGCTGTCACAATTTACGTCTATTTATATTGTGTATTTTATAATAGATTATTTCACAAAAACTGTATCCGTTATGATGATTTTAGTAGTTTTGTCTTTCAACTTTCATACTAAAGATATGTGATTTACAGACCGCCATTATAATATTAGAGAATTTTGAGTTTATGTGCTTAGTTTTATCAATGAGTTTTATAATTGTATATGTTTTATATTACTAATTAGCATCTTTTACTTTTCACCTCCTTGAAAAACTCTCTTTAGCATTTCTTATAAGGCAGGTTTAGTGGTGATGAATTCCCACAGCTTTTGGTTGTATAGTACTATCTTCATCTTTCTTCATTCTGGAAAACAACCTGCTGGATGTAGTATTCTAGGCTACAATGTATTTTTTTTTCTTTCAGTACATTAAATAAATCATCTTACTCTCTCCTGGAATTCAAGCTCTCTACTGAGAAATTAAAAAATAATTTAATAAAGATTCCCTTGTTTGCAATATGTTGCTTTTATTTTGCTTCTTTCTAATTCTCTCTGACTGTTGAGAATTTTATTATAATGTGTTTCAGTGAAGATCTTTATTTAGCTAATTTCAGAGTTATTTGCATGTCATTGATTTGGGTTTTCATATCTCTCTTCAGATTTGAGAAATTGTTTTTTATTTTATTTTATTTTATTTTTTGAGTTGGAGTCTCACTCTGTCACCCAGACTGGAGTGCAGTGGCCGCTCACGGCCACCGCAACCTCAACCCACTGGGCTCCGGTGTTCCTTCCGCCTCAGGCTTCCGAGTAACCGGAATTATAGGCATGCGCTACCATGCCCGGCTGATTTTTTGATTTATTGTAGAGAGAGGTCTTGCTGCCCAGGTGGGTCTTGAACCCGCGGGCTCAGGCAATCCACTCACCTCA